GGAAAATCAGGGCAGGTCTTATACACTTAATTGTAAGATCCTGGAATGTGTTTCTGAACACATTGTTCATTGTTCCTTAAAAGTGGAATTCTGACTACCTGGGGCAGTGAAGAAGGTGTTTGTATGCTTGCCTTTATTGGTCAGTGCATTGAGTATAGGAGTTAGAAGACTATGTTGCCACTGCACAGGATATTGGTTAGGCCAAGTTTGGAATACTGCATTCAATTCTGGTCTCCCAGCTATGAAAGAATGTTGTGAAACTTGAACGGGTTCAGAAAAGACTTAAAGGGTGTTGCCAGGGTTGGAGGGTTTGAGCTATAGGGAGAGGGTGATTAGGCTGGGACTTTTTTTCCTGGACTGTCAGAGGCTGAGGGGTGACTTTACAGAAGTTTATAAAATCATGAGGGGCATGGATAGGGTGAATAGTCAAGGTCTTCTCCCCAGGGTAGGGGAGTCCAAAACTAGAGGGCATAGGTTTAAGGTGAGGGGGAAAAATTTAAAAGGGACCTAAGGGGCAATTTTTTCCATGCAGAGGGTGATGCACGTACAGAATGAGCTGTCATAGGAAGTGGTGGAGGCTGGTACAATTACATTACATTTAAAAGGATGGGTATATGAATAGGAAGAGTTTAGAGAGATATGGGCCAAATGCTGGCAAATGGGACTAGATTAATTTAGGATATCTGGTTGGCATGGCTGAGTTGAACTGAAGGGTCTGTTTCCGTGCTGGACGTCTGTATGACTCTATAACATCCTCCCTTCTGATCTTATGATGGAGGGAATGTCATTGATGAAGCAGCTGAAGATGGTTGGGCCTAGATGCTACCCTGAACATCTCCTATGGGGATGTCCTGGAGCTGAGATGACTGACTGCCAGTAATCACAATTATCTTCTCTTGTGCCAGGTATGACTCCAGCCAGTGGAGAGTTTGCCCCCTGATTCGTTTCGTTAGGGCTCCTTGAGGCCACACTCAAAATCAAATGCAGCCTTGATGTCAAGGGCTGTCAATCTCATCTCTCATCTGGAATTCAGCTCTCTTGTCCATGTTTGAACCAAAGCTGCAATGAGGTCAGGAGTTGAGTAGTCTGAGTGGAACCCAAACTGGGCGTCACTGAGCAGCTTATTGCTGAGCAGGTACTGCTTGATAGCACTGTTGATGACACCTTCCATTACTTTACTGATAGTGGACAGTAGACTGGCAGGGTGATTGAGAGGGGCAGCACTTTGGTTAGCATTTCTGCCTCACAGAGCCAGGGACCCAGGTTCAATTTCAGCCTTGGGTGATTGTCTATGTGGAGTTTGCACATTCTTCCCATGTCTGCATGGGTTTCCTCTGGGTGCTCTAGTTTCCTCCCACAGTCCAATAATGTGCAGGTTAGGTGATTGACCATGCTAAATTACCCCATTGTGTCCAGGGATGGGCAGACTAGGTGGATTAGCCATGGGAAATACAGGATTATGGTAGGGGTGGGGGGAGGGTCTGAGTGGGATGCTCTTCAGCGGGTCGGTGTGGAATCGATGGGCTGAATGGCCTGCTTCCACGCTGTAGGGATTCAATGCTTCTAGACTAAAGGGATGCTTCTAGACTAAAGGGACACTAATTGGCCGGGTTGGATTTGGCCTGCTTTTTGTGTAAAGGACATAAATGGGCTATTTTCCACATTGTCGGGTTATCACTACTGTTGTAATTATTATGGAATAGCTTGGCTAGGGGAGCAGCAAGTTCTGGAGCACAAGTCTTCAGTATTATTGCGTGGATGTTGTCAGGGCCCGTAGCCTTTGTAGTATCCACTGCGTCCAACCATTTCTTGATATCACATGGTGTGACTTGTTTTGGCTGAAGATTGGCATTTGTAATGCTGGGAATAACTGGAGGAAGCCAAGATCGGTCATCCACTTGGGCACTTCTGCCTGAGGATTGCCATGAATGCTTCGGTCTTATCTTTTGCAGGTATTTTGGTTTGGCTGCTGTTTAAACATTTGTATCACAGAAACAGCCAATTTGGTCTTCTTGTTTTTGGCTACATTCAGTCCCACACTCTTCACACTGTCCTGTGGCTTACTCTGTTTCATCAGTGGTTTCTTTTTAAAGTGCAGTACTCTTCCTCAGCTATTCCTTGTACAGCATGCTTTACTCCAAAGACATTTCTCTTAATCACCAAGTTACCAAATCTTCTTCACTGAAATCCCAGAGGAAGGCTGTGTTCTTTACGAACTTGAACAAAAGTTGCTTTTTTTTTGAGAAATCTCCAATAAATCCCCATTTAGATCTTCTCCAATACTCCCAGTAAGGAATTCTTCTTGTTTCTCTTAATGTCTGATTCATTTATCCTTAAATCTCCATAGGTTATGTATGTATTTGCCATATATGTAATTTGTGAAGTGTACGTTTCCTTGAGAGTGTATGTCATGTGTTTTCCTGTTGTATACACTAGTGCTATGCCTGACTGCATTACAATGCTCACTTGGTTGTAACTTGCTCTATTGTGAAATATCTGATTAAACCCGCTTTCATTTCTTTCAAACTTATTGTAATGAGAGCTAATGACAAGGCCAGTATTCCTAAAAACAAAATTAGCATCATAGTTTCCTCACATTTAAGGAAAGTATCTTAAAAAGGTTAGAAATAGGAGTTGGCTATTTGCCTTCATGAACCTGTTGTGTCAGTGAATGAGAACACAGCTGATCTTATTGTGATAGAAAATCAGTTACGCAGTACAGGATTCCTAACCTCTGATCTGCTCTAGTCATCACTGTATTTATATGGCTAGTCCAGTATGGTTTTCATGTCAATGTAACCTCAGTACGTTGTTAGTGGGGAAGTCCATGATAGCAGTGCTAATGAATATTATTGAATGGAAGTTAGATTCACTTTTCTGGAGATAATTGGCACCTGGCATTTGTGCAACGTAAACGTTACTTGCCACTTTTCAACGCAAGCTTTGATTTTCTCCAGGACTTTCTGCATTTGGACATGGGCTGTTTCTGTATCCGATGAGTTGTAAATAGTGCTGAACTTTGGGAAATCATTGACCTTTTGATGGAAGGAAACGTGTGGTGAAACAGCTGAGGATTATTAGGGCCAGGACACTAACCTGAATTAATTTAATTTATTATTGTCACACGTACCTACGTACAGTGAAAAGTTTTGTTTGGAATGCAGTGCAACAGATCATAATACAAAGACACAAAGAAGTTGGTGAGGATCCTTTATGGACATGCCAAATTTCCTTAGTCTCCTGAGGAAGAAGCGTTGTTGTGCCTTCTTGCATGTCGCATCAACATGGGTGGTGGTCCAGGATAGATTGTTGATGATCGTCACTCCTAGGAACTTGGCGTTCTCGGTCATCTCTACCTTGGCTCCATTAATGCAGATAGAGCACTTCAGCCCCTACGGTGCAGTGTTAGTGTCCCTACCTTTGGAACAGGATGCCCAATTCCAGAGGTGTATAGTCTACCCTGAGGAATACCTGCAGAGAAAACCTGGAACTGACATAGCTGACCGCCAACAACCACCTTATGTGCCAGGAATGATTTCCAACATTGGAGAGTTCTTCCCAATTCTCACTGACTCCAGATGTGCTTGAGCTTCTTTTAAAACTGAATAATCACAATCAGTATCCAGCTGAAAATGAAACTGGATAAATAAGTGATGTTGAGAAAGTCACATGTTGTAGATAAGCAGCTTGATGCATGAGACGCACGCATGCGGATCCTGCTTCAGCTACCTAATGCATACATAAGGCACTGCCATCTCATCCGCTGAGCATAAGGCACACACACAGCAGGTTGCTGTCCAGGTAACTGCAACATGCAGAGTGCCTCCCTGACGAAGAGGAGTGGAGCAGCCCAGTCACGCACTGGTGAGCTAGTAACGCTATTCACTCATTTCCCCTGGGCCTAAAGGACAGCCTGGCCTCACCGGCAAAGTTCTTGAGTTCTGACAACAGGTCACATGACCCAAAACGTTAACTCTGATTTCTGTCCCATATGCTGCCAGACCTGTTGATCTTTTCCAGCAATTTCTGTGTTTGTTTCTCACTGTCAAGTGAGGCCTTGATGCCTAGTGCAGTCACTCTCAACTCACCACTGGAATTCAGCTCTTTTTGTCCATGTTTAAACCAAAACTGTGTTATGCCACAGTGAAGAGCTGTTAAATCTTGTGACAGTCTTTGGGAAACAGTGACAGAAACAAAGGGACATTTTTCATTATTTAAAAATTATATATTTGAGAGTGCTCTGTGCACTGATGGCACACTAGACAGCTGGCTCAGTGCTCCTCCTCTCCTCACTCTACCCTGTTGCCTATTCTACGATCCTCCACTGCACTATGAGCCGTCTGTGTATAGCTGCCTATTCTGACCTGCACTGAACCCCCATCCCACCTCTCTCTATGCATTGAGACAACAAGGTGCAGGGCGAGAGGTACAGAGCACAAATGAACC